ATGTACAAACCTCAAACAACTTAACTGTACTATGTTTTTGGATTCTGTTTACTGCTGAGGTTTTAGTTTCCTTACAACTTTATAGTTTTTAGCTTCACAATCTAGCAGCTGTATCTATTTTTAGAGGAATCACAGTGATGAAAATTCCATACTCGGAATGTGGCCAAACGTTTCTGGAACCATTAAAGCTTTGGGAAACTATTCAAAGCACTCTGATTCATAACCTGTAAAGCCATTATATCTGGTTTTGTGGCTTCCGTTCCAATAACCAAACCATTCTCTGTGGTACTAAGAGTGGAATAAATAGGTAAAATCAATCAATAAAAACATTTTCAAGTAAGTTCATAAAATGCTGGTGGTAATATTTCATCATCATATTATACTAAATGTCTGTCATTAATAGACTGTTTATGATACATATCTATTTCAGGTTAAAAAGCTGAATGTACAAGTAACTTGTTAATGTCACTGATCCATTTAATAGTTTCCAGCAATTTCTGTGTCATTGAAATGTGATGCGTGAGAGCAGTTGGACTCTTCAAGGAGGAATACAACGTATTATCATTTTTTTTTTTAGCTTTTACTGAAAACTTTTATTACTATGTGCAATAAACACCACCTCAGAGCTTAAGTGTTAGAAGACATGGGAAAGGATCTTGAAAACAAGGAGGCTTGTTGACTGGTCAAATACATAAAGTGCCCAGAATCCATTCATGGCTTTGTAGTCCTCTTTAGATTGGTGAAATCTTTAATTCTAAACTCTGAGGAAGAAGGTATATCCCTTGAAAAATGTCAACATTCTTGCATTTGTGTTGTGCAGTGTTGCAAAACTATTGTTCAGAACTTTTATTGATGTACATTGTCAGTGTCTTATAGTCTTCTTTGGTAGTGCATGTCCAAATCTAATGCATTTAAAAACATATAAATAACATACTAGTAAGTCTGTCTTTGGAGATGTTGAAACAAAAAAAAAACAAATATGTTGAAACCACTTACAGTATATTCCCAATAGAGATTAGAAAAATGTCACAAATCTGCCCTGTTATGTTTGCACAGTCTGACCCCACATCAATTGTCCAACTAACATCCGAGATTTTTCATTTTTATTTTGATAAAGTATGCCTTTACAAAATGATAGCAAACCAGGTGGATTGGCAAGTGTTCTGATTGCACCACCTTTTTGGATCAAGCAGAATTTTTAAAAAGGGAAACCCCTCCAAAATATAGCCTCCACACACCATCTTAAGCTCTTCTGCACATTGGAGGTGACCTGGTAATTTTTTTTTTATTTTTCTTCTTTTCTTTTTTTCTTTTGCACTTATTTCTCAAAGAGAGAGGTGACAAATATACATGTTCAAAGAAGAACTCTGGGATAGACAAAAAAATACACCCCCTTACACAAAACATTAAAAGTTAATAAAATGTTGAAAATCCTTACCATTTAGGAGAAAGGTCTAATTGAATTTTCATCACCTTATCTTTGTATTTCAAAAGATAATAGCATCTGCTCTGCCAAGAAAGATGTGTATTAGCAGGGATTACATCATATCCTCTCCTCTCTCTCTGCTGTAAAAGGAAACTACAGTTCCCATCAACACAGGGAATTGTATTGAATGTGGGTGGGTACACTAGGCCTGTACATGTTGAATGTGTCTGAGAGTCTTGTTCCTCCCACCACTGCAAGTGGGGCTAAATTATCATACATCACTGCTTCCTGGAGAAAGAACTACAGAAGGGATATGCCAAGACCAATGGCTGGGGAAATAGGAGGTATAGCAGCCACCAGTCTTACAAACAGGAAACCAAAGAAAATTAATGGTTTTTTATTTAAAAATGAATAGGTTATTTCAGAGCAAGTACTGAGTGAACCAGAAGATGGGTGACATATTCAGTGAAGGTAAGAAAGCAGCAGCAAGGACATGTAAAGAAGTTTTTGAACGCTGTTCTGCTTTAAAGCTTAGGTTGCAGACAGTGCCCAGTCGAGACTGGAAGTTCGCTCCCTAGAGGGCAGGTCAGAGATTAGTTGATGATACAGGAAGACACACACATAGCAAGAAAAAAATTTCACACTTTTTTTTAGTTTTCTGTCTCTGTTTTCATTGAGAAAATATTTCATCGCTTCCTCTCCTTATGATATCCTGTCAGTGGGACGGGAATTGAGGACGAATTTTCAGTGTGAACACAAATACCAATAAACCCTGACTAATGTTCTGATCTTCCCCGCATCCAAATTAAAATAAATATTTTGACTGATGTTGAAAAAGTAAAAAGGGACTTTTTTTACTGATATGATTTGTGAAAAATATAAAAAACAATGAAAATCAGTTTTTTTGAAATGTGGATTTTTTGTATCCATGAATCCCTTGCCTAATCACTATGATGTCAGAAATATCAGTGTCTATGGCAGTTTAAAGAAATATTTTATTTGAAATAACACAACCACACTTTCCAATTTTTAAAAAACATTCCATAAGAGGTTGTTCTTCATACCTGTACAGGTGGATCCTCTTCTCAAATATAAACCTCTTCTAGGGTTACATTTAATGCCCGTACATCTTAACCTGGTAGATTCCAGCCCTAGATGATTGGATTTTTTTTTTATCACTTTGCTAATGAACATTCCTTCAAACAGAATCCACAGAGTAGGAGGAATGAAACTCTGCGAGGAAAAGTCATGCTCTACTCATAAGTTGAGGCTGCTGATGACAATTCACTGTAACAAATATTACACAATGGCAAGAATGAGCCGAGCAATAAGACAGAGGGTAGTTTTAGTTCATCAACAAGGTGTCTCACATGCAGAAATTACAAGGATAACAGGTGTTTCTAGAGGTGCTGTTGAGGATCTATTTCAGTAACACAAGGAAACAGACAACCATGAGGACAGAAGACACAGTACACAGCCAAGCAAACTTGCAACAGATGATAGACACATCATGCAGATCCTGGCTTTCTCAGTGGTCTATTAAAGTGGAGTTCCTGTCGTTTTTGTGTTTAGTAAAAATCAGCAGCAAAAAAAACTGTAGCTGCTGACTTTTAATAAACACACACTTACCTGTCCCGGGGTCCAGCGATGTACTCATCTGTGCAGTCCCTTCTCTCCTTCTGTCCTCTATGGCACCGGCATCTCTACTGTGGGTGCAATGCTGTGACAGCTTGCGGCTTCACAGCCTAGTGCCCACTGCGCATGCTTAAGTCGTGCTGTGCCTCCTGATTGGTCCAGCAGTCTTCTGGGACCTGTGAAAGCTCCCAGGAGACTGGGAGCAACCAGGGGGCTGCAGCGATCTGAGCCGGAAGTGGGAGTGGATACCTGTCAAAACCAGGTACCCTCTCCCCCTCCCCCCAAAAGGTGCCAAATATGGCAGTGGAGAGGGGGAGGAGGCAAATAAGTGAAGCTTCTGCTTTTGAGTGGAACTTCGCTTTAAGTATTCATATATACTGTACATTGTACCATGTAAGTATGCAGTACAAATATTTCTTTAAGGCGTATCCATGGTCAAAATGTAAAATTATACGTTCATTTTCACATTGTATTTCAATTATTCCTAGCCTAATCCCATTAATATGAATGATCTTGAAGTTTGTAAATTCACTTTGTGAAGATCTCCACACAATTACATCCTTGAATTCTGTGACAGATAATCACTATGTCCTGGTAGTAGGCACTGCTGCATCACACATTTCACAAAGCCTGCCTTCTGATCTACAGAGGTGCTGAAAGGAGGAGTCAGTACAGGAATCAATACTAGAAGGCAGCAAGGTGCCATGGGATATGTAGTCCTTAAATTGGATTGTCAATAGTAACTATTTCTTGAATTTTTATTACAAAGCTGAAGTTATAAAATGAAAGTGTATGCTGTCACCATAAATCTCCTTTAAGGGCTCATGTACAGAGGACGTTTGGAAAACACTTCTGAACGATGGAAACTGACTGCTGGAAAACGTAGGTTAAAAACATCTGTTTAGCTGCATTTGCATACCGCGTTTATGCGCATTTGAGTTTAGAAGCGTTTTTTTAAAGAGAACATCAGGAGACCTTCCAAAATGCCCAGAATGCACTGAAAAATACAAAAAAATTAACTATTTCAGACATTTTGAGAGAAATAGAGAGAGCAGAAGCAGAGAGAGCAGTATGTGTTGAGATTGCCGTATTTTTCGCTCCATAAGACGCACTTTTTTCCCCCCCAAAAAGGGGGGAAAATGTCAGTGCGTCTTATGGAACGAATATAAAGCGGCCGGTCCGGTATTTCTGCCGCCACCATGTCAGAATACCGGGCCGGCCGCTCAGCTGTTCTCTCCTGCAAGGCCTTACCTGTTTCCTCGCTCCAGCGCTGCACAGTCTTCCCGCGCTGGCTTCTGTGACAGCCGGGTGATCAGTGCGCATGCGCTGCGCTTTGTGAATGGTCCAGTGTTTTCTGGGACACATGACAGGTCCCAGAAGGCGCCGGGCCATTCACAAAGAGCAGCACTTCTCGCGCATGCGCAGTGGGCACCCGGCTGTCACAGAAGCCGGCGCGGGAAGAAGAGGGAAAGACAACTCCGCGGAAGTGGGAGCGGGTACCTGTCAAATTCAGGTACCCGCTCCCCCTCCCTCCCCAAAGGTCAGCAGTCTCTGGTCATCCCCTGCACTGTCTGCAGTCTCTGGTCATCCCCTGCACTGTCTGCAGTCTCTGGTCATCCCCTGCACTGTCTGCAGTCTCTGGTCATCCCCTGCACTGTCTGCAGTCTCTGGTCATACTGCCCTGCACTGTCTGCAGTCTCTGGTCATCCCCTGCACTGTCTGCAGTCTCTGGTCATCCCCTGCACTGTCTGCAGTCTCTGGTCATCTCCTGCACTGTCCACAGTCTCTGGTCATCCCCTGCACTGTCTGCAGTCTCTGGTTATTCCCTGCACTGTCTGCAGTCTCTGTTCATCTGTACTGTGTCCCTGGTATTTTCCCTGTACTATGTCCACAGTCTCTGGTCATCTCCTGTACTGTGTCCGCAGTCTCTGATTATCTCCTGTACTGTGTCCGCAGTCTCTGGTCATCTCCTGTACTGTGTCCGCAGTCTCTGGTCATCTCCTGTAGTGTGTCCGCAGTCTCTGGTCATCTCCTGTACTATGTCCACAGTCTCTGGTCATCTCCTGTACTGTGTCCGCAGTCTCTGATTATCTCCTGTACTGTGTCCGCAGTCTCTGATCATCTCCTGTACTGTGTCCGCAGTCTCTGGTCATCTCCTGTACTGTGTCCGCAGTCTCTGGTCATCTCCTGTAGTGTGTCCGCAGTCTCTGGTCATCTCCTGTACTGTGTCCGCAGTCTCTGGTCATCTCCTGTACTGTGTCCGCAGTCTCTGGTCATCTCCTGTAGTATGTCCGCAGTCTCTGGTCATCTCCTGTAGTATGTCCGCAGTCTCTGGTCATTTCCTGTACTGTGTCCGCAGTCTCTGGTCATCTCCTGTACTGTGTCCGCAGTCTCTGGTCATCTCCTGTAGTATGTCCGCAGTCTCTGGTCATCTCCTGTACTATGTCCGCAGTCTCTGGTCATCTCCTGTACTATGTCCGCAGTCTCTGGTCATCTCCTGTAGTATGTCCGCAGTCTCTGGTCATCCCCTGTAGTATGTCTGCAGTCTCTGGTCATCTCCTGTACTGTGTCCGCAGTCTCTGGTCATCTCCTGTACTGTGTCCGCAGTCTCTGGTCATCCCCTGTACTATGTCTGCAGTCCATTGGTTCAGAATATTTTTTTTCTTGTTTTTTGCCTCTAAAACCTAGGTGCGTCTTATGGTCAGGTGCGTCTTATGGAGCGAAAAATACGGTACCTGTCTTTACTGGTTGTATTCACTATGGATCCCATCATAAGCATAATGCAGCACTTTCTACCATTTTTTTCCTTCACGCAAAACCTGGAACTGACTGCACTGGTGTACTGGGTCCATTTGAATACATGGAAAACGCTTTGCATGCATTTCTGATGATGAAAAAAGGCTCTGGACAGCATCTGGACATGGAACAGTTAAAAAACGCTTCTAAACGTAAACACTTATAAACGCGGTTAGCCGTGTTTACACACTTTTACAAGCATTTGGCGTTTGAAACGCTGATAAAATCTACTCCTGAACGCAAGTTTGGTGCGTTCAAAAAGATGATTGTAAGCTCAACTGACTGTAAACAACTGTAAATGACATAGTGTACATGGACACATAGGAAAGCATTAGGGAGAGTTCAAGGGCTGCTGAAAAAAATGCAGAAAAGCTGCTGAACGTGAGTTTATCAGCTGCAGTGTACATGAACCCTGTGCTTCCACACTACTGCAGTGCTGTTTTCCTGCACCCTGGGTGCAGCACAGTTTACCCGCATGTTTGGGGTGGGTTAGCTGCACTTTCCAATAGTTATATTGTGTCCCTCATGTTTAGTATGCTTTCTGAAAGCGCAGCAAAACTCCTGTATGCTGCATCTTTGTTGCGCTTTCAGAAAGCATACTAAACCTGCGGGACACAAAATAACACTATGGGAAATATAGCTAAATCACTCCAAACACGTGTGTAAGCTGCACTGCACCTGCGGTGTGGGAAAAACGCACCACAGCAGTGTGAAAACAAGTTTACACATGTTGTCTTACTTTTTTACACGTTACTCATGTCAGACCATTAAATATCCAACTTATAAATTCAATATTGAACATTGCCAGGAATTTTGCTAATAATTATATCATTTCGCATCCATTGACCATAGCGACTGTTATAAATATTGTATTTGCAAACATCTCATATGTAAATGTTTTGCTTCTGAGAATATCTTTTCTTTTATTCTGACCTAATTTCCCTATCCACATCTCTAAAAGGCGCTAAATAAATTTTATATGAGTTCTGTTTAATGTGTGTTTATTCATGTATATTTAAAATATGTTTATTAATAAACAAAAAAGAGTGAAACATTTAACTTTTTCTCTTTTTTTTTTTTTTTACTAAGCTAATTATCGCAGTGTAGTCACTAAACTAAAAGAATATTCAGTAACAGCTTAAATGTAATGGCAATGTCATGCAACATTTATAAGGGAGCACTGGAGCTGTCTCTGCTAACTTGCTTTGATTTACTGACATAACTCGGTGTTTAAAAGCTTTAGGCAACACCACACACATACAAACAGTCACTGGTAATTTGAATAATTAGTGAGTATGGAGCTGGAGACTCAAGGATACTTGCAATGACATGTAATTATGAGATGAAAAACCAGCGTAACAGCAAGATTACAATTACGTGAATAGAAGAATGTACTTGATAGGTTAGATATTATAAATTTGTGTGAATTATAGTACTGTGCAAGAGGACATTAAATTGTCAACATCTAGGGAAAGCATGCCTATATGCATATCATGTTCAGAGGCTTTAGAAATTGTGCCTGAGGCCTATTTATTTATTCATTTTATAAACACTTATTTATAAATGCCAATGAAAGGTTATATCATTATAAACGATAGGCATAGCAACTAATCAGATTTTCGGCCCGATCACCCCAGAATATCTTTAAAGAGTTTTGCCTTTTTCAAATGGGATATTTTGGTGCCCAGAATGGTTCAAGAGATGTAACTTTTATTTGAAAAAGGACATTCTAGTGTTCAGGATGGATCAAGCATTAAAAGACTCTGGGGTCAATTCACTAACAATCATTGCACGCAATATCAGGGTCATATGTCCTATCTGCATAAATTATTATTACAAATTGGGATAAAAGAAAACAAAAAAAAGAAGTTGAGCGCTAAATATGTCAAAATGTAAATTATTTTGGTATTTGAATAAAGCATGCTTTTTAGTGTATAGACTACTTTTGAGAAAATGTTGCACGAGTTATTTTAAGGCAAAAATGCATGCGGTATTTAACTCTAGAATTGACCCTACTGACACCAGACATAGAAAACAATGTCACTGTCAAGATTTTGGATTTCCTAATGACTTTATAAATCTTCTCCCCTATATTTACTTGATTTGTTGTATGGTATGCACACATGGGTTAGCATGTTTAAACTAAACTTTAACTAAGTGCCAAACCCATCCACTTTTGGTGCCTATATTTACCATTATTGCCCTCCCCAACTCTGCCAAACCCCACCGTCAGTCTGCAAAAATCCTGGTACTTCCAGGTATAGGAAAGCATGTGCCATGCCATTTGCTTCAGCCAAAATGCAACACTTCGATCAGTCAATTGCCAGGCCTTAGAGCTGTCAAATAGAAATGACAATGCTACATGCTAGGATGAAAAAGGGTACCCCCAGTATGTGTTTTAATATTTTAATTTGACTGAAGTGTATTGTCAGTGTTAAAGAAAAGCGTTATAACCCCTGTCAGTTTTTTTTTCCATCTGTGTCCCATTGAGGTTTTCCTTCACTTCCTGCCCCATAGCAAAACCAGAAGTGAGAGAAAATCCCTCAAAAGTAAGGGAAATCCCTTTCACCAGGGTCACCACATGTGTCCACTCTCTCATCCCTGTTCTCAAAATTTGGTATTTTCTTTCACTTTTGGTGGTAACAGTCACCAGGACAAATAAAGAGAGTGAATCTCCCTAACAGGAATGCGGACAGCAAAAAAAACCTGACAGGTGTTCTAATCCCTCCTCTGATCTCCTCATACAATCTAAAACTAATAAAAGTTTGACTTCAGTTTATATTTTAATATAATACCTCAAGAGAAATCCAAAGAGTTTACCTTTAAGAGTGTAAAAATGTTTTTTTTTTATTTAAAAACTGATTTATTTTAGGAAAGAACATTACAAAGAAAAGACCACCATTGTGGTAGAACAACACAACTTAGTATTTTAAGTAAAGTTAGCAGATAAACAAAGTGCATACAAAATAAGTAACAAAAATCAACATGCTCTGCAAGACTATTGGTAAGATAGGATATTTATTATTATTATAAAGGGTTTATATAGCACCAACAGTTTACACATCGCTTTACAACATACGGCAGATAGTACAATTACAACACAATTTCGCAAAGTATGAATCAGAGGCCCTGCTCATTAGAGCTGTGGGGGATGAGATGGTGGAGAAAATAAAAGTACAGTTGTTAGGTGGGGGCAGGGTGGGTCTCTCTGGAGAGAAGAGTTTTCAAGGATCATCTAAAAGTGGTCAGAGGGGGAGATAGTCAGACAGATTGGGGTAGGGAGTTCCAGAGGATGGGAGAGGCTTGGGAGAAGTCCTGGATGCAAACATGGAAGCAGGTGACATGGAAGCTAAAGAGCAGGAGGTCTTAAGAAGGAACAAAAGGAACAATTAGATTGGTATTTTGAGACTAGGTAGTGATGCAGTTGTTGATGGCTTTGAAAGTTGTTGTTAGTATTTTGTTTTGTTTGGGGTGGCAACCTTTGAACATTAATTGGATGTGAGGCTGAAAGGATAGTTCAGGGTCCAGGATTACACCTAGCACCTTGGAATACAGGGATGGGTTGATTGTCGAGCCATCAATTTTGACAGAGAAGTCAGGGGAAGGGGCACTTGACGGTGGAAATATTATGAGCTTTGGATAGATTGAGTTTGAGGATGTGGTGTGACATCCAGTCTGGTATGTCTGCTAGTAAATTAGTGATTCATGTGGAGACTAGTGGAGTGAGCTGAGGGGTAGAGAGAGAGATTTGGGTGTCGTTAGCATAGAAATTATATTGAAAGCCATGGGAGGCTATTAACTAACTCAGGAAGTGTAGACAGAGAATAGGAGAGGTTCAAGAACAGAACCTTGGGGGACTCTTAAAGAAAAAGGAAGAAGAGAAGAGAAAGTAGATTTGTAAGTGACACTGAAGGTGCTGTGGGATAGGTAGGATGAGAACCAGAGAAGAGTACAGTCACGAAGACCAAAGAATTTAAGTTTTTGTAAAGTGAAGGGAGTGGTCCACTGTGTCAAAGTCAGCAGAGAGGTCCAGGAGTAGGAGTACAGAACAGTGTCCATTGGTTTTAGCTATTATTAGATGGTTTGTGAGTTTTAGGAGAGCATTTTCTGTGGAGTGTTGAGGGTGAAACCTAGACTGAAGGGGATCAATAAGGTTGCTCTCAGTGAGATGGATGCTCAGTCGGTTGTAGATTAAACATTCAAGGAGATGGGGCATAGGTTGTTAAGTATGGTGTGGTCCAGTGAGGGCTTTAAAAGTATGGGGGCGACTAGTGCATGTTTTAGAGAGTTGGGGAAGATGCCAGAAAAGAGGGATAAATTGAAGATCTGAGTTAGACAGTGTAGGATAGAGCCAGAAGGTGACCATAGCATTTACGAGGGAACAGGGTCCAGGCGGCATGTAGATAGGTGAGTGTTAGAAAAAGTTTAGCAATCTTGTCTATGGTAGCAGGGTTGAATGAGGTAAATAATTATTGTTCCTGTGGGTGTGGAGTTCACTGGATATACATATTTTCAAAATTAATTTGAGACATGCATTAGTTAATCCAGTCATTCCCAGGTTTCCAAAGACTATAGAAACAAAGGCAATAGAGGCGTTAGATCTGAGAGCTATCATTTTTTCATAGGAGTAGTGTGTTTTTACTATAGAAATTGTTTCAGATGGGTTAGGTGCTATTTGATGTGCCCTGTGTCTTGTAATGGT